TTGGCGAGTAAAATTCTTAAATGAAATTTAACATCTATTTACTCTCAGTAAAGTTATTATATTAACTAATAATTGTACGTTCATTACGAGACACCGTTTTGAAAGCACCTGTTTACATCTCACACAAAATTACTTACATATACTAGTTGACCCGTGGTCACTTCGTCTGGTTGTTAACAATTTTTACTTGTGATGAAATTATCTTTTGTGGTTCATAATACTGAATGTTTGGGATTTATTTTATGTTTATTTTTCTCATTGTTGGTTGTTAGTACGTTAATTGTGTAAGACTTATCTGTATACTACAGATGTTTATGTTGTGCTATTGTGTGGCGGCAAAATGTATTAGGCTTCTGGAATTCCAACTCAAGATAAGCCAATGTATAACTTCCCATGGGAAAAACACTTTTTACAAGTCAATAACCGGCACAGACAGAATGTCTAACCCTGGGACTTATTTATCGTAAGGACAAATGAAACTTTGAATGGAAACCGCAGTCTTTTGAACGATATTGGCAAATCATGGGTATCTACGGAATATAAACAAGTTGTCCCACTGCTAGCCCCTTGAGGACGGTCATACGATTATATTGTCCCGCAACTCTTTTATCAGTAGCCTTAAGCCATTACACATGTTGGGAGGGCTCAAGTTTCTTAACAGTATGATAGGAACGCGGGCTTTTAACGTAAGATCATGAGGTAGAGGGCCAGAAGGGTTCGAATTGTTGAAAAATCAGACGTTTTCATTGTCTCGCGTAATTGATACTTTACGTTATCTCTCAAAACATACAACCAAAATAACATACTGCGCGGATCGATCATTATTTATAAAGACGTAATTCCAATATTTTTCCGTTGCATATCAGATTATTTTTAATCGATAAACTTTGTATTATATTACACGGGTTTATTTTAACGCTAACCCAATACAAGACATCACCGCATGTCACAACCGCAAATCTATCTATTTTATTCTATTTTTAACGGTCAATAGAGGTTTTTTTATTTTTAAACAATCATATAGTATAATGCCGTGGACTTCAGTACAGCACAGCGAGTCCCATAGTTTTTCGACCATAGAGCCTTTAATTAAGCAGTATTTTCTCGTGGAGACCCAAGAAATATTTCATAATTCGTATTTCATTTGCCCGTGTTTAACAAAGCATATTGCACATGTTATGTATGCAAGAGGAAACTCAAAACGAGATGACGTCTATAAAATATTATTATTATTTATATTAAATACCCAGTCTGGACCTGAAAATGTATATATGCTCGTTGTTTTGAATAACGATCAATTATTGCTGTACTGTTCAGTATTTTATGGTTAATCGAACGGAGTCCTTGATAAACAATTGCGGAGCTCTAAGGGTTTCACGGAACACAGTGTGAGAACCGCTAGCACAGAATTACTAAAGAAAAATATTTTTGATATATCCACCTAAAACAATATATACACTTATAGTCAGCGCACGCCGATGAATCGTTATTTATTATCAGCCCATTTTTCTCGAAATCGACTGAAAAATATTTTAATTTCAAATTAAAAAATATTATTAATCGCAATAAAATATAGCCTACGTCAATCGGGAATAATGTAGCTTTCTGCTCGTAAAAGAATTTTCAAAATCGATTCGGTAGTTCCAGGAGATTATTTCCTACGAACAAAAATCACAAATGTACAAACCTTATAATATTAGTATATATGTATATATATATATATATATGTGTGTGTGTGTGTGTGTGTGGGTGTGTTATGAGTTTGCTTCGTTTGATTTCGTCGTATTGTGAACTCGTGAGCGAAAGTCGCCGACGGTCCGGATGAAATTTCACATTTAACGAGATCCGAAGCACATTCGACAGAATGAAAACGCGATTGTCAACCATCTCCGTAAGCAACGAGATAAGGTTTTGTCGATTACGTTTTAACGTAATGTTATTATTTCGGATGTGTGACGCGACCTGTACAGACGTCCGGAGGAGGTCTACGGCGAAGAGTCGCGCGCGTAATAGGTACCGCGCACACGGGAAAAGGAGCGGTGCGCTTATGCAACATAATATATCGTCATCGCATTGTGTTGTGCACCAACAATAATCATATAATACAACGATTTCGGTCCGAAGTTTACGTCGTCGTAACCCTTTATTCGGTACACGCGTAACAGTATGCGCAGATTGAAAACATCGCGCGCGCCGTATGTCGCAACGACGGGGCGAATGGGAGGGGGGATCAAAATTACGAAAAATTCGATCACGTAAAATCCAAAAAATTTGTCAAACATCATCGTTGTTGTAGCATACGGTTTTTTCGATCGTAGAACGAGACGAGCTCGTTTCGCGGTGAACTCCGGTGCGCCCTTACCCAGGTTACACGTCTGCAGTGATCCGCGTCGCCACTGGAGGCGATATTCGTTACCGATGCGTGGACGCGCGCGAGTGTGCAGCGAACGGTGTGTGGGCGACCGTAACCGGGGTAGTCGTATGGGTGCGCCGACCGAGTTAGCGTGCGTTATGCCCGGCACGCGATGTAGATGAGCGATTTGTTGACGGACGTGCACGTCATAGCGCGTGGAAAACAAACCAAAAAATAAATATTATTATTAACAACGTAATGACGGTAAACGCGGTCGCTAAACATATACAATACGTATGGACGGGAAAGAAGATATGTCACCGTTAATATATATTAATGCGAACTGCTCCTGTACGCTGTGCACGATACGGACAAACGTGTGCGCGACGAAGACTTGTCGCACGACGTACACGCACAACGCGCTCGTACGTAATCAATTATGTACCGTCGTATTTACGATTGTATACGTGTGCATTTGTGTACGCGCGATGTCCCTGCGGGGCTCGCCGGGCAATTATTTATTTACACAAATTGACCATAATTACGGTTATTACCGGAGGGGACGTCGGAACGGGGGCACTTGACGCCCTCTAACCCTGCCCGGTGGCGACGGCAAATAAAGAGTGGGCGCGCGCTAAGCCCGTCAAACCGGTGTCGAGCTATCGAGCCAATTCCACATATTACGTAATTCGATTACAATCCAAGAACATAATAGTCGTGTTTTGCCCCTACGTTTTCCGCCCTCCTCGTCCGCGGGTCGTCCGGATTTATTATATTGTTGCGCGCGTGCGTTGTGCCCGACGCGCGTACGGATGCGGAACGCCCGATTGTCGTCTACGTGAATGTAGTCGCGGGGCCAACAACGATCGTCAACGGATCGCAAAAGGACGACGACAAACGTCAGTCGACACGTATGGAGGGAAAAAACGTTCCTAAACCATTGGCGAAGACGGCTAAAAAGTGACGCAAACCAATAACGATCCCGACGGTCAAGCCGAAATGGTTAAATTTTTTTCGTAAAATTACATCATTCCCGTTAAAATCGTTATTTTTGTTTCGAGGCGACGCCGCGTTTTATACTTTCATGTACTCGTATGCTTTGTCACGTATTTCAGGTATCTATTTTGTTTTTTATTTATTTTTTTTCTAATCGGAATCCATCAAACGCTGAAGGTGAACAATAACTTGCAATACCGTTCAAATTAAAGGTTTATTTAATACGTATTTATGTGCGCTCCACGAATATCATATTACTTTTACACTGTACGTGCACACAAAACTGTTCCGTTAGGTTATATACAATATACATTACGAATATACAATTTTTGACGAATCCAAAAAGTCATATTTAGTTTTGTACCGCTACTGAGCCACGTCCTGCAGGTTTATAAGTGTTTTTTTTTATTTTTTTTTTTTTACTAATAAATGATAAATATATAACAATCCAAGAGAACCATACACGGGTTCAAGAAAAATTCCACGCAAGTATATGAATTCATTCTAAAACATTACGTCACCGACACATCGTCGTTGTTCTTTCTTTTTTTTTTTTTATCGTCCAAAGATGACTGACGTGTTGCATTATTTCGTCGGATGAGATGCGTACGAGTAGGAGATGGAGTGAAAAAGAGTAAAAATAAACGTTAGGTCTGATGTGGTAATAACAACAGTTCTATATTTATATATTTAAATTTTTTTTATTATTTTTTTTTTTTTTTACAATAGACAGGTTTGATGATCATAGGGAACGTATACAATAACAACAAAAAAAAAAAAAGAAAAATATTTTCAACTTTGGGACAGTAGTAAAACAATAACATTTTTTATCGTAAATCTAATTTTTCATAATAATAATAATAATAATGATAATAATATAATAATAATACAAGTTTTTCTATATAAAAAAAAAAAACCGTTCACAGACATATATATAGGTAAGGGATTTTCTACACGGTTCGTTTATAATACTTATATTTATATTATACACGTATAAATGATTTATATCCGCGTCCGATGCAACGTGCGTGATAATATTATATACATATAACCTATAGTATACACGATTTGTTAGGACTTTTAGGACACGGAACACACGGGATTTTACAATAAAATCGTAAATATTATATATAGTTATTGGTAAAACTGGAAGTGTGTTAAATTATACATACTCGTGTGTAGATACACGTACATACGTAATATACACTCTAGGACGCATCTACAGCAGTTTACGCAATACAAACTTCAATCGAAAAATTCTGGTGTGACCGCGGATTTCTGTGTAATGGAAATGAAACGTTTGCTTAGATTTATAGTTATAATTTTTCGAGGAAAAAAAAACCTTACCCAACTCGACTTTTTTTTTTTTACATTCACTTATGTACAACGAAAAAAAAAGCACAGTTTTGTACAAACAATTTACTCTAACCTACAAAGATTACTGAGTTTTATGCCTACGATCGCATATTATATGTATACACTTATTTATACACGAAATAGTGTTAAACGTGTAGGTATATAGTTTTATTCAAATCCGTTACACAAGTTATATAATATTTATTCTCTATTTTTTTTTTTTTTTTTGTTTTTATTTTTCTATATAATATCATTATTTTTGGGGAGGAAAAATAATAATATTAACACGTATTGCAATGCCGCGATTTTTAGTTTTTTTTTTTTCAATTTTTTCATTTAATAAATATTTTTTTACCGTCGGGCGTATAGTGATGTTATCGCCGATTGTATATATATAATAATAATAATAATAATAATAATAACATATACGTAGGTATGTATGATAATACGATAATTATAATAATAATATTAATAACATTATGGCACGGTTCTTTAAAAAAGTTTACCTCCGGTCGATTTCGTACGGCATTCTGTTTTGTGTTGCGAGTGTTTAGGGCACAAGTCGCTGGAATCTGTGGCGATAGCTCGGACGATCGATATGGGAGTAATTTCACCAGACGAGGCCTTCGTTTTGCAAGTTAGGCGCGTCCGAAAACCCACTGCTACTGCCACCTGCGAAAAAGAATAATCCACTCATTACACACAATTTTTATGGTATATAACGTACGTACGTCATGCAATTCACAATTTTTAACCGAAAAAAAAAAAAAATTCATTCTAAAACGCAGTCAGGCTGCGTATATTTGCTATCCTTAAAACGATTTCTATGTAAATCTACGGTGATCACCGTGTTATACCGCACGTGTTTTATGAATAAACACGTCATATTAACGTCTCATTAATTGATGATCGATACACGATCAGGGTACGCGGAAAAAAGTTTAAATGCTGTCGTATGTTGAAATTGTTTTTAACTGTAAGTTCGTACGTATATACGATTTTTAGAGTAAATTATAACTATAATTCGGTATCTCTTATAGAATGATATGAATAGTGTACGATGCGCTGGTAACATTTTCGAACAAACGTATATTATTGCGGTACACTCCAACACGACAGTAGTAATCTTTAAAAAACGATTTTTTTTTTTTTTGTTACTCCGTTCGTAAAACGGCCCGGTGGTATAGGTACAACACTATTGTAATGCGCTCTGACAGTGTCGTAAAGTGTTTATGTATGGGCAACCGATGTAATTTTACGCATAATATTTGGATATAAATATTTCAGTGTACGAGTAATAACGACAATAAAAATTGTATTTTACTGCAATATAGATTTTTATATGTAAAATTATTCTCAAAGTATAAATTATAAAAACACTAATTCTAAAACGCTATTCTTCATGCGCCTATACGTTTTTCAATTCGATATTGTACAATAATATATACAGAAGTCATAAACATCGTTCTATCCTAAACATACTCGTATATACATATACTTAATCTTATGTACATTTTTAGTACTACAGTTATGTGTATCTCAAACAGTGATTTACTTTCAATAAAAACGGGTTTAAATCGAACACGAAAACGAATTTTTTCCCGTGTAATCATTGATTTTAGTTGGAATACTCTTTGGATACGCCGTCCAATTGTTGAAATTGGTAGCGTCAACTACACGTCGCTATAATCATTTGCATTAAATCTGATCAAAATCAAATTTTCAGAAATAGGAAAACAATTGTGATGTCTGAAGTATCTTATGAAATCAAATTGGACCGTATTTTATTATTAAAGTGCACGCACTTATGCGACGAAAAGAAATGACGAACGCATTCGAATGATATACGCACACGCGTTGCAAGTGATAATTTTTCCGTTTTGAGTGGAGGGGCGAGAGGGGTAAGCATTTTTTTTTTTTTTGTTAAATTTACTTGCCTTGGGAGCCCATGAATTCCGACGGACTACCCGGCCTTTGGGACACGAGCTGCTGGTCGTTGGCCTGCTGTTGCTGCGCAATGAAGCCGGGCGGAGCGTCTTGACCCATGCCCGGATAATCCGGCCCCATTCCGGACATCGGGTTGGAATCCATGCCACCTACGAAACAAAAAAAAAAATGAGAGGGATTATATTAACTGAAACGAGAACGAAAAAATAAACGACAACAAATGCTGGTGGATTTTTATAAAGCGTTTCGACCGCGGCGTAAGAAAAACGAACCGTACGTGTGTATACGTTGTCGCCGTTCTGGCCGATAGTACGAGTGACATATCAACCTAATAAAATATAATCGAGGATTTATCCATTTCGAATCCCGATCGGCTGGGACTCGACGACTAAACGGTTAACGAAAACAGTGACGGTAAAATGTACGCGATTTAATTTATTTTTATTTGGTGTAATTAATGTATTATTCGGTTAAACCGTCATTTAATGACAGTTTAACCGAATAATACAACGAAAAATTATCGCAAAAATGTGCGAACCGAGCCTGAAGTATAAAATTCTGGTGGCGGATCACGTATTGAGAACGCGATCTCGTCCGTTCGACTGTTCTCTGAAAACGCAAAAGTGATCGCTCGTTATAGCGGTACCGTCGGAAAAATATAATTAAAAGCCGGACGGATCAGATCGAGATGAGTATTATTACACCATGACCACCTTGTACTGGTTGGACGCAACTCGGCGGCACGTGTATCGAAACACTAATAGTTTAGAGTTTTCATGTTTCATCTGCAAAGCCCACCGTAATCGTTTTTTTTACATTTTTTTTTATCGTCGTATCGTATGTGTATCTATGTGTATACTAATTACGGTTCAAACCGGCGGTGACATTTTAATAAAAATAAACGTGCGTCCACAATAAACTCGCAGCTTCCCAACGCACGTGTTGTAGCGCTCTCCGCGTGTCGTTTATAATTAATTTTGTTTCAGAACGTACGAGTGTAATCGCCTTTGACCACGTCAACAGTTCACACCACAATGGGCAGTAGTAGTACCCTATTCTGATGTACGGAATTACAACGAATTAGTGATCTGTTACACGAACGACGCGACGTCTCGTATCCGTGACAAGCGTACAGCGCGATTTCCGATTTGAAAAATAATATCGTAATATTATAATCGTTATTGTTCGCGACGGTAACAACACGCTCAGTGACGTCAACGACGGACAACAGTAAGATCCCGGAAAACGTCTGGAAAGCTTTTTAGCCAATATTTACCGTAATACAAATACGCAGTAATGTGGCGAGAAATAAATTATATGTCCGGTAATCAGGACGCAAAGTGGGCGCCTGCCAGGGGCGCGAAATATCGAGTGAGAATTGGGACGCAAAATTTGATCAAGTCATTAAATTAGATTTTAAAAATCAAAACCAAAATATTATTATAATAATTTAAAAAATTGATATTGGATGGAAATACGATGATACCGAATGATACTATAAAGTGTGAAGTACCTAGAATTAAATTATATTAATATATAATAATGTCCATATTAATAATACACGTAGCCCGTAGTTATAATTTACGATTGTGAGGAAAACGTGATAGAAATCATTTAGCTTAAACTCATAGTCACCGGATAATATACAAATTTAAAAATAAAATTTTCGGACGACAATAATACCAATAATCTAAAATATGATTATATTATATTAATTATTTTTGTTGTGGGGCTCGACCCCCGGGGACGCAAAATTTTCATTTTTCGAGAAGCGCCACTATTGATCGACCCGGTCCTGCCTGTAATAACCGAGGCGGATTTTTTGTCAACGTTGCGTTATCGTTATTTTGAAACTTCACCTATAATAATCGTTATGCACAGGAGGAAAATCGCGTCTCTACACGATAATAGTAGAATAGTTTGTTGAATATATGCGTTTAAGACGAATTACATTCATCCCATAATCCATTTAAATGTTCCTATATGTTTTTTTTTTATTTTGCAATACAGTTGTGTGTGCACGTTAGTTTAGTTTTATCTACGTTATTCCACGCATTTATTCGTTGTTATGTTTAGATTAGATTTTCAAATTTTGTCCGGCTCTTAAACAGTATTGCACTCACTGTCTATGTGTTTTTACAGTACCATTTTCATTGTGCAAATATGTCATAAGTTCATAAGTCCTAGAATCGATACTATGAGCGTTGTCGAATGAATCGCTCAATACATTTTAAGAAATTTCTCGAATTAAACCATTCTCTTACACTGTAAAATTCATAATTATCAAATATTGCACTGAATAGTATTATCAGTAATAATATACTCGTACACGTGTTATATATATATATATATATATATATATATATATATATGGTTATTTCAACGCATTTATCCGTATACAAGGCGGTGTATATCAACGTACAGTTTACTTCATCAGCCGTTCGTCGTATAACACAATACTTGCATATCTTTATCAGAGATTATATTGCTTTATGTGAATGCTTACCTGGGTGTCCGAAGGGGCCTCCGGGACCGGCACCCACGTGGGTACCGCCGTGATGACCGAAGAAGTCCGGATGGAACGAACCGGGCCCGTAACCGAACTCGAATTTGACCTCAGCCGAACCGGCGAAGTACGGGAAACCGGGTTGCTGGTCGTCCAGGGACCCGGGACTCATGTTCAGCGGGAAACCGCGCATTTTCCGCGCGCCCCCGTAGAACGGTCCTCGGCCCATTGACGTCAGCTGTTTCAGCCGCCGCTCTTTGCTCCTCTTGTTTTGGAACCACACCTGCGGAAACGATCGAAAGGGTTTGCCTATATTTAGTACAGTTAGAGAACAATAATAATTGACGAAACAGTAAAACTGTTCGCGGTCCTAAGGACGGGCCCCGCGCGCGTTAAACGCACTCTTGCTAAACGACCGTAGTCTACCGCGCAGTCGACTAGAATATCTCTGTATCGTACGACTCGCGCGATAAACCACCTAAATTTTCGACGTGCAGCAATGCCCGACGAATTCCCATCACGCGAGTGTGACTATTTTAGGTTTTCCCGACTTCGCAACTTCTTTTCTCCTCCCATAGGATTCGGTTTTATACAGTAGTTACACAGACGCTGCAGTTACCACACCTACAAATTGTTGTTGCCGAATCTCTGGAATACGTTCAGTGCACCGTACATAAGCTCTATAAGCCTTAACGCGTGTTAAAAGGATTTTTTTCTTTCCGCGGCCGAAGAGATTACTGTACATGGCTGCGTGACCGGCCCCCGCAACTAAACACTAATTAATATTACCATACTAAATATTACATCGAATATCGAACGGTTTCTACCACTGCGTGTCGTACGATCATGTTTATTTATTTTATGAAATCTCACGTTTTCATCGCCATCTCCGTTCGGTATCATTATTAAACAATACCTACAACACTCGACGCGCCGCGTGATACTGCGTTAAAAAAAATAACGAAAAAAACTACAAATTTATCGAAAACCGGTTCCTACGCTGCTTTTTCCGTAAGAGGCAATTTGTTCTGGCGAACACTTACAATATTATTTGACTCTCGTAATTCGTAATATTTGATAAGTAATAATAAATAATGTTTATGTTTAATTCATTGTTCATGGGCGGGCATTATACATGGAGTACATAACATAAACGCTCTATATAATATTTATATTAAACTATATCGCATCCATACCTAATATAAACTGGTTTTCGATAAAGAAAAAAAGGAAAACTTACGATTCTTCGTATCATTCTAACGAACTTTTTTTACAGATCTTGAAAAAATAATGCATACATCTATTCGAATAATTTCGAGTCGGACACGGCAGTGTAAACGTTTAAAAACGATCAAATATACTTTTTGATGGTAATGTTTTTCGATACACTTCAGAGGAGAGTGGAAAAAATAAATAAAAAAACAGAAGACTCAATTTCGAACTAATGTATTTTTAATGATTTTCTTTTGGTTTCCGAGCGGGGAAAGGCGCGCGTGTTAAACATTGATTGATGGCCGATCGTAAAGACTATACGGAGGAAATAAAAATAAAAATTAAAGCACTCGCGCTGTGCGTGCGTGTGTGTGTGTGTGTGTGTGTGTGTGTGTGTGTGACCTCTCGAAATCTTGTTTTTTTATGCGGACCGACCACAACCCTGGTTCCGGAGTCGGGAAACTACCATCGTCTGCCGGACCTCCCTGGCTGCGGCTATGAGGCCGTCAACGGCGGAGAGACGAAAGAAAAAAACAATCAAGTACGCACGTTACACGTGCTCGTTTTCTTATGCGCAAGCACACGCGCGGTAATGACCGCAACTATCGTAAAGAAGGAAACGCGCGTGCATTGTTGCCGACCGCAGAAAAACCACATGATAAACGCGTCGTGCACCGCACGCGCAAAATTATACGATTTACATAGTGTAATGCTTTGTCCACAATGCTGTGTTGAACGTAAAACAACGCAACCGCGACTGCAGGCGAAGGACGCGACGAGAAAACGCACGATTTTCGCAACTGGAAACGTCAGACGTGTACGTACACACAGATTCCGACCGAAAACGATAGTTATATCACATTCGGTTCGACTCGATAACAGCAGTATGATATTACACTTGATAAGTGTTCAAAAATATTGTCTAACGAACGTGAAAACGCTAGACGAATTCCGAAACCCGAGGATACGTTCAAATGGCGATGTAACATCGTACAGTGTACGTAATAGGTTTTTACACAAACAGTTTGTACCCGACGCTGAACTCGAATCGAGAGACGGACGCGTGCTCTGTAACAATAAACGTATGATACATAAAAAAAAACCGAAAGTTTCCCATATGACGTTAATACTGATGTGCAGCACACGAATGCGCACGTTGTTACACGACCGTCGGAGTTTCAAGCGTTTTGTTGGCGCGCGGCGACGAGACGTCCGAGAAATAAAAAAAAAACCTATTCTCCGTGCATTGCGCTTGGATTTCCAAAAAGTTTTTTTTTTTCGCGTCTTGTATAATATGTACTGTATAATTTGTGTTGTTCCGTTCGTAATTCGTGTTCGCGATGTGCGCATGTTGCGGGTTGAAACGGAAAATAACGCGTAGGTATACCTACCGCCGTTGCCGTACGCGTATAAATAAATATGAAGTCGTTAGCCTTCCGACCGGATCAAACGTGAGAATCACGAACAAAGCGCAACGGTTGGGGGAAATTAAAAATTTTAAAAAAAAAAAAAACGAAAAGAACAAATGTGTTAATGTATCGCGGTAGAAAAATAATTAAAATCGCACGGTTTTTCGACGAAGGATCCGACGCGGAACGCGACGCCGTAGCCGTCACCGTCGACGGGTGTACGACGGTGCTATTATGCTATTACGGTGCGGCGATATCGCGCGTGTATCCTCGGCGGGATGAAGCGTTTGTAAATGTTTCGGAACGAGCCGTTTCGACCCGGTTTTGATCGAAACGCCGTCGCAGGGTCCATTACCGTCGGCGGCGACTACGCGTCCGGCAGATCCTGGCGCTTGTCATCGTTTGCGACGGCGTGCCCGAGAAATATACGATGTGCGTGGGCGCATGCCGCAGAGTAGAACGGACCAAAACGATTCCACGCTTTAAATGCACAATAACGGGATGTGATTTTTTAATCGCGACGAGCACGTAGGAGAAGGAAAACACGGTGCAAACGTATCGGTAACGGGCCTGGTAAATTTTTGGGAGTCGTATGGCTGAACGAAAATATGAAACCCGGCAAACGTAATAATAAACTAATGGAATTAAAAGTGATTCGAACGGTGAGGAGGATCAGTGTCGCGGTACTATTTACTTCGTTCGTCCTTGAGCGCCTTTAATTCTTACGTATTATTATTAATCATTTTTTTAATAAAAGGCAATTAAAAAAAAAAAAAAAAAAAAATTATTATTCATCATTGTTATATTATTATTTTTATATTATTATTATTTGTTATATTATCGACAACGGCCCATACAAGTAACTAGATCCTAAAGTTAGGGGGAGGGGGCTTCAACCCTAACATGTTTAAAATAAGTAAAACCAAACTCCCAAACTCGTCCCTCAAGTAACATTCATTTTTAAATTATAATATTATTTTATTAATATACAATGTATAAAACAGATAATAAAAAAAGTGATAGAGGGTAAACATTAAAATATTAACATATTTATTAAGTATTATTTTGGATACAAGTTAAATTTTCTTAAAAATTAAAAACTTAAATGAATTTTATAACTATCACATTTTAAGCCTCCGCTCAGTATAGGCAAATTTATTTAAAATGTCTTCTTTGTTTAGAATGTTTGACAAATCTCTTTCAATTGCTAATTGCTATGATTGCTAACTTGGAAAATCGAATTGGTAATATAGTTGACCTTATGTAAGTGTTTCGACGCATTGCGGAGAATGTTCTTTCACAAGATGCTTTTTGAAACTGCAAGTGCCAAATGCAGCATTTTGTATAAATTTAGGAAAACAGATTTTTCTACAATAATCTTTAGTTGCTGTTCCTGATTGAATTTTCCAATTGAATGTCATAAAATTTTTTTACAACCAAAATTTCTGATTTTAAGTCAGTTCCATTAATATTTCGTTGCTCGTTGATCGTGGTCACAAGTTATTAATAATCGTACGTCTTTTACGACTATTTTTGTATTTAATTTATTAATAATTTCTAAGTAATATTTATGTAGTAAAACCTTACATACAATCATTGTATTGCAATGAAACGTATAACCAAAAAAAATAAATATTTTTCCAAGATATTAATAAAAAAAATAAAATGATATTTTAAATTAAAAGTAAAAATGTAGCTACCGTTAGCAAGACTAAGAATTGTGAAAGGGGAGGCTAAAATTCATGTTGGGGGCTTAGCCCCCCTCCCCTAGTAACGCCTATGCAACGGACATACGAGACAACGGACATAATGGACATACATATCAACTCGTAGTTGTATTATTTTTAAATCGTATTTATTTTCAATTAATTCATGTCTAAACATTGTTATAAATGCATGTAGAATTCTAAAAAACAAACGAAATTAACTTAACCATTTTTTTCGAGCTGAATCTTTATTTTTTTAATTTTTTTTTTTTTTTATTCAACTATAGTCGCAGAGAAAGTTTCCTCCCTTCCATCCGGAAATGTCGACCCAAATATTTATGTTCTACGTAAACGTCATGAACGGGATGCACCAAATGGATTAATGCAGCCGGACTTGTGAACGAAAAAGTTTATCAACGACAGCAGCTGCCGTGGAACTCGTGTGCAGTCGGCAGGACGTTTTATTATTTCAGAGGAAAAAAAACGATTGCATTACGGGCACACATTATTTTAATATCGGCACTTCGAAACAAATACATATAATAATAATAAGTAATGTGTTGCAGTCACACGCGCACACGTGTTGTTCTTGCTCGTGCTGTATACAGTCATATAGTGACAGTTAATTTAGTGAACAAAATTTACGACGTCGGTCCGTGTCGTTTCCACGCGTATTGTTGTAATATAAATCGTTGACGTGCAGTCGTTCTCAATGCGTTACGGATGCAACGGCATAGAGGTGTACCGAAATCGAATATTTCACGTTATGGCATACGCGCGTACACTACACATTGTATCACAACATAATTCAAAACGCATACTTCGACGTGAGAACATACATATGTGTTTATTTTATTTATGCCACTCGAAAGCCGCCCCGCTCTATGTACCCTAGGGCAATCGTATATGATGTTTTCAAAAATATGTACCTGAATGACTCTCATGGGCAGGCTGGTCTCTTTAGCTAATTGTTCGCGGATGTGCCTGGTAGGTTTGGGCGTTTGCGAAAAGGCCGTTTTCAGTATTTCTAGTTGTTTGGCCTTGATGGTAGTTCTGGGACCTCGTCTCTTGGATCCGGAATTGCCGTCATCCGGCGATTTGTTCTCCGTCTGACTGTCCCTGGTCTCTGGGTCGCCGTCCAAAGAACCTATTTTAGTTTAAAATGTCGTGTTTAATACGTCGACCAATATGCTAATAAAAGAAATGCAACAAGGAAATTCTGAACAGATCCGTTCAATTATATGGTATAGCTCACCTTGGTCCTCAGAATCTTCTTTTAGGTCTAGGCCCGAATGAGGTGCTTGCAGATCGCCGGCCGACAGCGAGTTATTGTTGGCTTCCGGCGTGGTCGGCGGCAATATCGATCCGGGGCCCGTTCCGTGGAGCCCTGAGATCAGATGGTGTTTGGTGGACGATATGCTGGTCGATGTGGTCTCGTCGTCCTCTTCGTCTTCTGATCCCGAGTACGGCAACGAGTCAATACCTGGAAACACGTGAAACCGAACCGATAAAACGACGACCGAGTATAATTTCTATATTCCCAAATAGTTTGATATCTATTCAATATAAATATGTATGGTCAATAACAGTAAATATAATTGAAACTACAAACAGATAATTTGTATACGTATTGTCACGCGTAATACAGTACATAAGTCTATTTGTATGTAACACCGGATGAATACAAGGGTCGAGGTATATCGTACGCGCATACATAATACGCACGTGGTGTACATAGTGCGGCTGACGCGTGAGAAAGAAATAGTTTACATAATATTTTATGCGCGCGCGTGTGTATAAAACACCGGAGCGGAGAAAGAAGCGAAAAAAAATAAAACAAAAAAAAGGGGATATCCTTGGTAAGAAAAACACGGGTCGGCGCACGTTTTGTTAAAAAGTATAGAATATAATTGGCAGACGTTCCGAACAAACACGTATAAATATCCAGAGGCAGAGGCGTTAGAGCTTGGCGAATAATACGCGCGCACACAAAAACAACGTTGTGTACACACGGAGGGTGCGTACGTACATCCCTCGGCGAGGAGAAGGACGCGACGGGAGGAAGGACTCGAGGGAAACGGTGCGGGGCAGAGAAGGGCTTATAACAATATTTGTTCAGGAATCAAACTCGATTACCCATTCGCGCCCGCGGGGTATAATGTTGCACGCGCGCGCGCCGCAGCCGCAGGACGACGATGACGACGACTACGACTACGACTATGGTTATAGCTGCTGATGTTGCCACGCGAGAGTATAAACCCGCAAGCCGGCAGGGACGAGAAATGCGCGTATTGTTGGCTCACCGCTACAGAAATATACATGTATACAAATAAATTGTGTGTGTGTGTGTGTGTGTGTGTGTGTGTGTGCGTGTGCGCGTGTATACACGTATATACGATAGTGCTGCTGGTGCGGTGGTTGGTATCCTGTGCAAACAATGCGGTCGGATAGAATCGCAAGCAACGAAGGGTACCGCAGAGTGTTTGGGGGTGTATCGATGACAAAAATCCCATCACGAATTCAATCGCGTTGCTGCTTTTTGCTCTCTCTCACTCTCTCTCTATCTCAGCGGTGTACACGTACAATATGTATATACGAGCAAAACGCTTTATACCCTCCGCGCGTATACATCATCATACGAATATACGGATTTATATATATACATATATACAGTGATCCGATTTTAATTCACAATCCTACATGCATACAATAATAATAACTCATACGTACGTATAGTAGCGGAAATCGTCTACACTGCACGTAACACGGCATCGGTGATGGACCGAAAGAGAGAGAGAGAGAGAGTGAGAGAGAGAAAGAGATACGAAGAGAACGAGCGAGTGAGGAACAGATATATCCTGGATTATCGAGTGTACAACGACTCATATGTACATAATAATAGTGTATGGTATAAAATATACAATGTTGGTGTATAAAAATCGAAGGTCGTGTACTAGAGCATTTTTGTTATTATAATAACGTTGATATAATTTTATGTTTTATTCGAAAAAATGTTTACGCGAGATTTATAATCGTAATTGCATGGAAAAAATGCCGTGGATTTATTGTCGAGGCGGTGGTGGTGAAAAGAATAAAAAGTTATCGTCTTTTTGTTTCACACATATACGTGCGTGCGCGCATAGTAATAATACAATAATAATACATGTATAATATATTATATATATATATATATATATATATATGTGTGTGTGTGTGTGTGTGTGTGTGTGTTTCTACACCGCATAAAATCGTTTCTTTCGGAAGTTTTTGTACGGTAAATTAGCTAGGGAAAAAAAAGAATAATGTAACAATCGTAAAAAATGAAAACGTATATATACAATAATAAATGTGTAAAATACTGGGAGCTGGGTCATTACTGTCTTTTCGGGTTATTTTACAAGCTGCTGTATAATAACCGAGTAGGTTTTTCGGCGTTATAATACAATACGCCCAAGTCGCAGTTCGGTAAAAAGGATACACGCGCGCCTATATGTATTATACGTATGTGTGTGTGTGTGTGTGTGTGTATATATATATGTACGTATACACGTGTATATTTTTGAAGGATTTTTTTTATGATCAACCCAGACCGACCGGAGTCTTTGGGCCGTCAAAACGATCGCAGGCGCTCATATTTACATATAACACAAATTTTTTACATAATTTATGCTCGAGGGACGTAGAAAAAAAGTGACCAGAAAATCACCAGAATACCTGTCAATTTTTACGACCCGTCTTAGGTGTTCGGTTCTTTTATGTTTTCATTTTATTTCTTCTTATAAAATATACATACATAAATGTACGATATTCATAATTTTTTTATTTTTTCTTCTCTGTCGGTCCCCTTGAAACGCTCCCGTACGCGCACATACATATGTACGCATATATCGTACACACACATATATATATATATATATATACACGTATGAAATATAATGACATTATCACCGTGTCCCGAACAGACGTCGGATTTGTTTCGAACCATCGAAACGTCAAGTTTACGATCCACCGCCAGTCTGCTGGGCCCGGACCTCGGGAACGTGTGAAAAATATACGTATAACGTGTATGAATTACAACTTTTTCGAATTCCCGTCTCTCGTGTTCACTACTGCTGCCCTCCCTCCGTCCGTCACACACACGCGCGCGCACACGTACGCTATCGGCTGACTTCGTGTTTTGAAGTGAATATTTATAGGTAGAGGAAAAAAAACAACATACTAAATGCGTTACACGGACACACTATGCGGTCGTTGATGAATTTACAATCCGCTGCGTGTCAACCACGTGAAATATAACTGCGTGTACACAATATAGGTGCACATGTTTATTGCACGTTTAGCGAATTGTTTTTGTGTCCTTCTAGTTCCAATCTGCAGCAGCAGCAGCGGTGGTGGCGGTGGCGTTACAATGGCCCGAAAGCAATTGTTTGCGGCTGGTGTATGGAAATCGCCATTAAATAGAGAAAGAGAGCCAGAATCGATGCATAAATATTGCATTACACGGTACATGTTATTAACAACAACCTAACCTTCCGAAATATGCGATTCGTGTTGTTGTGCTGCCGCTGCGTCGAACCGAACCGGTGGAATTTTCGAAATGGAACGTACTTTTTTTTTTCTCCCCCACCTTTTTCGGTTTGTGATTGGAGAGTACCTATACGTACATGGATTGATCATCGTCGCACGTGTGTCTCTCCGTGTATAAAATGCTGTACGATGAGGACTTGGCTTAATTGGATTCGTATGTGCACGCGCGTACATTTAAAATATTATTCGAATGAGCTCGCGCGCACGCTGCGCACACCTGTGTGTGAATATGTGTTAGAACGCGCGTTGCTCTCCGATCGCGTACGTAATGTATTCGACGACGAACGTCCATAAAACTTCTGGGGTGTCCATCGTTTCACACCTTTACCCGGCCCGTTATAAGTGCGCGTAGCCGCGGACGGAATAATAATTATGATAAAAAAAAAAAATAAATAAAACCAAATAACCGTGGATAAAAAATAACGCTAGGTATATATCGACGACGCGGCCACTAAATCACTCGTGCCCGAAGACATGTCATTGTTTATCGTCGTTATTATTTTATTTTACGTTTTTTTTTTTTTTCCTATCCCGCGCGTTGTCTAATTTACGCGCCGTGGACGTCACGTAGTGTAATTTTTTTTTTATTCATCTTTTTCGCCCGAAGCCGATTCGAATGCGACTGCAATGCGGGGCGCTCTCGTCGGGAAAACGCGAACGTAACATTGCGAATGATGTACAAACAAATATTGAACAACGGTAGAAATACGTTTCGCGACGGCCAACAAGCGCGTATGCAATACGAAACGTAAATGACGAACGCGCGCGCCGGGGTGCACCGCGCGTCCAACGAATAACGCACGCGACGGAACGCAACACCGAGGTTTCGCTTCGAACAAAACCTATTGGCAGCACGCGCGCGCGCAATACCTACGTAATCGCACAATGATAATAAACGTCGGTTGAAAAGACATTACCGATGTACGTATCGCGTATTATTTTCTCCGACGACGACGATAATAACGGAGTGTTTATTACACGTGTATTTAAGTGTATATAAATATGAAATCCGATGGCAACGCGAATCGCGCGCGTGTATAATACATATATATATGTTTTGTTATTGTACAGGGACGACTGCATCGGCCGCCGGACAGGGTACGTGGCGCGCGGGTGAGTAGTGGTTAGGGTCTATGGGCCGAGGAGGAGGGCCGGTGCGGCGTCGGCGGCACGCATTCCCCCCGCGGCGACGCGGTAAAAAGGCAAACGGGCCCCCCCGCGGAGAGCGGCCGCCGCACGAATCCTCTGTACGCCGTCGGCTGTGTGCAACGGCGGCGGCGACGCGGAGCCCGCGGGGCGTTTCGCGATTTCGACGTCGCCCGTCAGACGCAAAAGAACCGGCCGCCGCCGCCGCCGCCGCCGCCGAGCTGCGGAGGTCATCTCGACCTGTCGTTACCACAAAACCCGTGTGTACGTACGTCGTCATATAAACGTACACGTATGTACACGTTTCGTGCATTATTATTATCTCTCCCGACGGTTAATGTACGCGAGAGGATCAAAAGAAATCCCATGACTCCCGTACGCGAACAGTACCCTACGTGGTGCGCGTGAACCGATGTCTTCGAAACGTGGTTGGCCATGGCAAAAACGCAATGACGGTTGTCAATAATAATACGTCGTAAAATTATTCGGGGGGAGGGGAAGGGGTAGAATCTCCCGGTGACGTCTGGGGTCTTTCGAACGTTTTACGAGATAGTTAATGTTGAAGCCGCACATCGATCATGATTTCGCTTTACACACGAACAGACGCTCTAGTTCGCGCTTCAAACCTCGACAAGTTATTTTCGATCGGGGGGAAAAAAAATTACAATAATTATTATAGGAACATATCCATGATTTACATCAAATATGTGTGTGTTTAGGTCGTTTCACGGATCACATTTTTCGTACATA